TGGACTAAAAGATACCCTGTGACCACTAGCTAACTGAAACTGCAGTAATAAAATAAATATATATTGCATTAATTTGAGGTAAATAATAGTAATTTATACTCTTTAATATAAAAATTGAAAAAAAAAAAAAATAAAAGAAATAAATAAATAAAATATGCAAATATATTCTTTATCTACGAGAAGGAGAAGAATTGCAACTGCCGAATGTACTTAGATAAATTATCAATATCATTATATAAATTGTAGCTTTTGGTCATCTAATAATAATTTGATGCTACCCCATTATGTATATTTATAGGATATTCAAAATGAAGTGAAGTCCCAACACCAACAACAACGACAATAACAGCAACAACAATGACTACGACTAAACAACAACAGCAAACACACACGTTTGCGGTGGGCTGCTGTGCACTTTATATTGTTGTGCCGGGCATATGAGCAGTTGATACGGACTCTGGCCAAAGGTGCTGGGTACAGGCTGTGGCCCATTTTATTTTAGCAGAGCAGCCCAGCCCAGACCAGCCCAGCCGGGAGCGGCTGCTGATGACTTAATGAGCATAATAAGCTCAGCACCAAAATTACCTTTTAAAATTAACATGATGCTCTCTAACAAAACGTGCATGCGTTGACCTGCTGCTGCTCCTGCTGCTCCTGCTGCTCCCATTGCTATTTAGACACGCAACACCCACACACACACGCACACACACACGCACACACATGGCGATTACAGTGATTATAGTGGCATAGACAAGCAGTTACATATTTAAATTAAGATTTTAATGCGCATACGAAAGGCAACCGCCGCTGCTTCTGCGACTGCGGCTGCGGCAGGTGGTTAAAGTGGGCGGCAGCAACGGCATTTAATATCAAATTAATTAGTTGGCTTTTTGATAAACTTACCGCTAAGTAGCTTAAGGTATGCTTCCATTTAATTTGATGCAATACGTTTGCTTTTTATATATATAATTCTCCAACTATTTATATTGCGGGCAATCAAAGAATTTATTCGGTTTGTGGAAAACTTTGAGCACGCAAAGGTTTGATGGGCAGCGATAAACATGAAATGCATCTAATAAAATGCAATTTATAATTTTAATTAGTCGGAAAGCTAAAACAGAGAATTAAATTGAGGAAAAGAGGCAAGATATTAAATATTTATGAAAGTTATTTGTTTTATATTACGATATTTATTCAGTTCCTGACCTTTTAAAATTAGATACCTATATTTGTATGAGGATTTACTTATTAACTGACTTATTAAAATTCTTGTTTCATTGCTTACTTTCAAATAATCAATATGATTCAACCTTAATACAAAAACTGTATTATTTTTTATGCTATAAACGAATCGTGTACTTTATAATCCCCAATAAAATATATAGTACTAGTCTATCAGCAAACTGAAAAAAACCCATACTATAGAAGTTTCATGACTCGATTTATGCCTACGTGCACATCAATGTTTAGTTCTTGGTAAATCATAAAAATACTTCAACATCGGCATAAGCAGTGCTTGATTAGCGCCCTGCTCAGCAATCCGGTCGCTGCTTATTATCGAAGCAGTCAGCTGTAGCGTATATATGAAAAATGATATCTGCTGAAGCTGCCTATCCATCAGATTTAAGTGCAAGTCAGAAGTTGATGTCGGGCTTATCGGGCGCTGACGTCGACTGCAGAGTCAGGCAGAGTCAGCGCAGCGCTCTGCACGCATCATTCGCCATTCGATGCGCTTGTCAATAACTTTTTAACGAATTTTTAAGAAGCCGCGTTGCGTATACGCCATGGGGAACGCGAACGAAAAAAATTCACTCATGTATATGCATACGACAGTATGTATATATATATGTGCGTGTGAGTGTGTGTGTGTGTATGCCTACTGCTCAGCATCATAATCAAATTAAAGCATTTTTTACGACGTCATAGTCATAAATATGAACGATGCGAAATTGTGCACAACATGGAAAAGAGCAAAGGAGCCAGGACGCCCGGTCCTTGAGCAAGTGATTTCCCATTTGCGCTAAGCCGGAACTGGTCTGGGTGTGAAAAAAAAAACGAAGGAAAATAAAATAAAATCAAATGTATAAATCATTTATGCCATGCTTTAAAATTGAATAAGCATTCGTCAGCAATAAATCGCAGTCGCAGTCGCAGCTGCCCGAGCAGCAGTCAGCAAGGAGCTGTGCTTCAGGTCATGTCCTGGACCTGAACCTGGCTCTGGCTATGGACCTGGTCCTGTGTGTGGCCGAGCGCTCGCTGCTTGGGTCACATTTGCGTGTCCGCCGCCTTTGGGAAATTGCTACAATTTGTTTCATATTTCATGTGCCGTCGCTCTGTGCGAAAATTTACCACTTTGCGGTTTTTCACCAATGCCAACAAAGCCAAAAAAAAAAAGAAAAAAAAGTTTTATTTGAATTATTATTGGCACTATGGCAAAGCCAACTGGAAATATCGCAAAGCAAAAGCCTGATTTGCATATAGAATGCAATACAAAATGCCATTTGCGTTTCTTTTTGTGGCTCTATGGCTTATAAATTGCACTGGCGATGCATACTTTTTGGGCGTGGCAATTAAGAGGCGTGACATTCGGCTGAAATATTGCATACTATTTGGCTTGAATAGGTATTAGTATGTATTTTATGCGTATCAGTGATATATTATTTATATATATATATTTATAATTCTATTTATTTTTACATATTATTATAATTATATTTAATTTATATAGAAACTATATTTAGCAAGTTTATATTAGATTTTAGACAGATACACTTTTTAATCTTAGCATTTGAGCAGTAAGTCTCGCAGTTATGCGAAAATCTATATTGACATTAAATGCAATCTATATATATATATATATATATATATATATATATATATATATATATATATATATATATATATTGCCAGCATATAAATTTTATTACACCCATTTCATAGGCTGATAAAAGTGAAATGAATGAAATGAAACCAAATGAAACACTTTTCTTTGAAATCATAAATGTTCTTGTGTAGCCCTTTTGATTTTATAATTGGTATAGTTTTCATTTAGCTGTAACTCTAAAAATAGAACCAAAAATCAAAAATTTGGCAATCGCATCAAGTGTTCAATTATAATTTAGACGCTTATAAAGTACTTAAAGCTCTTATCATTTTATGACCATATTCACTTTCTACGCTTCAAGCAAAGACACACGAAATATATTTCCCAAGGTAGCACCATTTTGAAAAGGAAATAGTTTGTGGCCTCATATATACATATATTTGTATATATTTGTGTACATATTCACCTCCACATATATTATATACCTGAGTAATAGATAGATTATCTGACAGTTTGACAAGTATGGCCGTGTCAGACGTTATGATATGTACAGTTATATAGTATAGTAGAAAAAATTAGTACAGTCTGGTTCTATATACGTTTTGGACAATTTTTATAGTTAATTTTTAAAAAATCTCATGAATATCAACAGATTTGGTTGGCCATTCTTGAGAGATCCCAAAGTTATAACCGTCAAATATGTAAGATATTTAAGTTCTATATTAGTTCCATGTGAGTGAATATATGAAACTCCAATTTGAGTAAAATATATTTTTAAATCATATAACAATGAAGCATTGTCTCTGCTCTGCTAATTTTCGAACAGTTGTTTGGGTCATGTATACAAAATATTTTCCTATCATGCGAGCATTGCACTCTGTTTAAAAAATGTATTTATGATCGTCATTTCACTCTGTCTAAAAAAAGTATTTATGATCGTCTTTTGAAGTCGTGAGTGATGTCATACATAGGTAAGCTGACTTGCAATATTGATCCATATAGATTACAGTTTATTTTTAAAACTTTCTATATATACATACTTAAATATATGTATATAAGATAGCTGATCCAATAGCAGCAAATTAGAAAAGTCTATCAGTAAAAAATACTATGCAATTTGTTGAGCTCTTTGATTGATTATATACATGTAGGTAATAATCAACTATAAATGTAGTAGATCCAAATCAGAATATATAATCTATCACTACAGAATTTTATTTGCAAATTAATATCAAGTTTACGTTTCTTAAAAAACAAATCAGAAGGAACTAAAGCTCTCTCCACGAATACGTGAATAGCGAAATTCCGGAGTCACTCGCCTCAATCGTCAAGCCAACTGATTAAAGTCCAATCGATCATTTATGACAGTAATTTAAAGACTTTGGCTATCGCATGAGTAACCCTTATTGGCACTTTATTTCACAAATATGTCCAAAAAAATTTTTTTTAGTTTATTATACATTAGTTATCTAGTTGCGGGGAAAACACATAATCTGCGCATGAGCATGGCCTATATTATTTATTACTACAGCATATTCCTTTCAATTGTGATAAACGTGGCACGTTCTCAACTATTATGCTAATTTGGGCCCAGCTTGAACAAGAACACGAACAGTGCAGGGCTGCTTTCTTAATTTCGAATGAAACAATGTGAGTGCCTAGGCGACAAGCGCTGTCAAAATGCGAGAATTGAGTGCCAATGCGAGAAGTCCGCAGACAGATAGGCAGTCAGACAGCCAAAAATGCATGCAGCTGCTACTGCTACGCCTCCTGCTCCTGCTATGGCTTCTATGGCCTCTCCTGCGGCTACTGGTGTTGCCTCGACATTTGAATCTCGCATATAAATCGCATTAGGAGCACGCAATTACAGAGTTTCGAACATGGAGCAGCACGTGGTTACGCCTAGGCACAGGCAGCTGTACATCTTTCAGATTGCAGCACAACAATTCCACGCTTAATTGAAGGTAAAATTATGCACGTGCTATGTGTGTGGGTGTGTGGGTGTGTGTGAGTGTGTGTGAGTGTGTGTGAGTGTGGCACAGATTTGCGGCCCTGACACGGCACTGTCCAAGCTTCATTTGGCCAGCCAGCCCCACTTGAGATAAGGAAAAAGCAAACGCTTATCGTCACGCGAATGGGTCGCAAAAAAAAAACAAGAGAAACTACTTAAATGCGATTATTGTTAATATATGAACTTTAATTTACGCAATGTCAGATGCGCTTTGTAAATACATTGCAAGCCAAGGATAACGAAATATGTGTAAAGATTAAAAATAATTATAGTAATAATAACGGCAGGGACTGCTTATGGAGTGGGATGGCTTGGATGGATGAGGCACAATAATATCACATTGATCTAATACTTTAAGAAGAATAATACAAAGTGGAGGCCAAGTTTTGACAGCTCATATCAAAATGGGGCACTTGTACATGATGTTGATCTTGTCCTTATCCTTGTCGCTCAGGCCCAGGCGCTGTCCGATCACAGCTGTCGGGTCGAGCGGCACAATCGTGTCCTTGCCGTTGATGGAGAAGGCGCCGGGACGATAGTGCAAGCAGCTATTGTAGTCGTAGCCCACATCGAAGTCGGTGACGACTTTATCCGAGTACTTTTGGAAATTGAACTCCTTGCCGGGCACGATGTTCTCCTCGATGACCTCGATGTAGTCATCGCGCAGCGCCGAGCTCTGCTCGTGGTAGAAGCCCAGCGCATGCATCAGCTCGTGCAGCACGGTGCCGGGCCTGAAGCAACCCTCGCCGATGGGGTATATCTCCAGGTTCATTTGCTGCTGTCCGCCGAGGTAGCCCACGGCCGTGTAGCAGCCGCCGGGCTGGGCCGTAATGCTCACATAGTCCACATCCTGTTCGTTGGCCTCACGGAAACGTATGCAGGTCGTCTCCTCGATCGTCTGCATGCCCTTCAGAATGGCCTGCCTGTGGGCGTCATCGAAGTCTGTGGAGATGCTGTACACGACCAGATTGCCGGGCCAACGTCTTGTGGTATCCAATAGACCGTTGCGACCCATGGGGCCATGCTGCAACACCTGCCGCTGTCTCTCCGTCAACTTCATGTCACCCTCCGCATAGCCCGCCGACTCCTCGGGATCGGCCCGAAGCTTCCAGGGCAACGGCATGCCCCCGCACCGCAGGAGCCGAACGGACAGGAATAACAGAAGGACTGCTCGATAGGATTGCATCTTGTTCGCGACGTTGCTAAATTCTAACTGACGCATGTGCGCCGTTCCAACTGGGCATAAATATGCGGCAATCACAAGTTGGGTCCGATGATTAGATACAGGCAATCGATTGCGCTTAGATAATGCCACTGGACACCTCTAGAAGCGAGCTTAACGAAATCGCCAATGCGATTGCCAGATTTCGAGAGGGTTTCCCCTGACTTCTCATAATAAATTATGGATTGTTGCAGGGCATGTGTTGAGTAAATGCTTAAATTTGTAATAGGTTTAATTTATTATAATTAATTAAAACTCGTTTGGACATTCTTTTAATGAATCTATTTTAAGCAAAATAGATTTAACTAAGCAACATATTCCTAACACCCAAAATCTGTCAAAGAAAACCATACTTGAAGATATGAGAACTATTTTAGGAATAGACCAGAGTAATTGATACTATAACTCTGTCTAACTCATTTTCTCTCTCTTGATGATATCAATCATATCAAGAGATAGTTCCATTAAATACTCTCTATCGATTAGCTAAAATAAAGAGCATATCTAACTTACTCTTCTTCTTTTTGGGAACTGCTCCCGTCATCTACTGGCGCCTAGGCAGCTCAGCATTGTTAATGCAAAGAGTCTTCTTTTCATTGCTCACCCACTCCCCTGCCTACGTCACGTGCAAATCAGCATTATCAATTCTATGGGTTAATTGAAATGGTATCTTTATTATCAATGGTCTGATTGGATTTTTAAGTGCTCGACAAGCTGAAATTAGATTCGACTTACTGCACACTGAATAGGATGAGTAATTTCCACGAATGTTTCTGTTATAGTCCAAGTTTCAGATACGAAAACACGCGTAATCGCCCAACTGAACAAGTGAACGATTGTCTTGAATGACCGCTTATCAGCAGCATTTACACGGCTATAAACGAGGTGAGCGGCTAGATGGAGAACAGTAGAGAGAGGGGAACACAGAAGGCCGACAAGCTGATCAGGCTCTTAGAGCGTCTCTCGCGCTTTTTGTAGTACGAGAGCCGGCGACATTATAAGAAATGACGACATCTGTCCACACACAAATCTAAATTTCTATTTTGAGCTTATCGCTCAAATTCGGATTCGAGATTTCTTAACTCGCTCTATATGAAGAGAGTAAGTAGAACGTGTCATAGTGATTGAAAGCTATAATTATATTTTAAAAGTAGTTCGATAAGAGTTTCATGTCATCTTCGATTTTTATACTCATTTGTTATTTATTTATATATATATATATATATATATATATATATATATATATATATATATATATATACTTTTTTTTTGTGTGAATGAAGCACCCTGTGCTCTATCACAGTTGCATTCTTTTAGGAGTCTTCATGAAACAGAGATCTTTATTTTTTTATTTTATTTTTATTTTTTTTTTACATATATATAGTTTTATTGCAGATAAATTGGCTGCAAGCTGGTTTGGGTGGGCGGATATTCTGTCCGCGTACCTGGTGCTGTGTCGGCCAATGAGCTCAGCAATTGTCGGCATCTAGAGGTCGGTGTGCAGGGTTTCATTTCTGACGTACCATTTGGCTCCGGTCCAAGTCCTTAGTGCTTTGTTTTGTGTGGTTTGAACTTTGTTTATGCGAGTTCTTGCAGCAGACACCCATAAAGGCATTGCATAGGTGAAGACAGGTGCCACTATTGCGTTGTATATATGCCTCTTACTTCGTAGTGACAGAGGGCTCTCGCTTCTTAGCAACCAGTCGAGTTTTTTAGTTTGAACTTGCACTTTTTGACTGAGAGATCTTTATTATTTCAGGATTTTTTAGTTGGTAGAAATACAACTAATGGATAATACATCACAATATATATATATATAGATAGAACTTTATACTACATAGTTTATATATCTGCACTATACTTGCTGGGAGCATTTATACATGATGTTCAATTTATTGATATCCCGCTGGCCCACTTGCAGTCGCTGTCCCATTTGTTTCCCGTGTGAATTTTTCGAAGGCAATGTGAACGTATTTATCACGATCTATCGAGCTCTGCTGCTGATAGAGGCCCACTGGCCGATTTTTCGCAAGACTATGTGATGTTAACTTGTTATTACTGAATTATAATGTAATAGTAGACGATAGCTGTAGCCGATAGCACTGATAATCATATCACGCAGCTCCAACTGCTGGTACAGGTGTAAGTGCAGGTGCTGCACTATCACGTGATAGCAAAAGGATTAAGCGGATTATTATTGAGCACTGCCTCATGCTCGTTGAACGGAAATTTATTAGCTGCGAAATTTATCTTTATTGCAAATATGTACAACATATACGTAGTGCATAACCAATAGATTTTATCTTATCAGCTCGATTCATTTCAGCTAACCCTATAAATTGGACTACCACAGACTTTGCGTAAACTTGACAAGAGCTAAATGGATCAAGAGCTGTGAATTTGTAATTGTGTAACGACTCACACTCTTCTTGGACAAGCTTTTCTCGGACAATTGTACATATTATTTAACTTGTTAATATCGGCCTCGCTCATTTGAAGTCGCTGTCCCATTATTAGCTCGGCGCCCTCGACCAGCGGCACAATGGTCATTTTGCCATTCTTCGAGAATGCCGTGGAGGTGTAGTGCATGACGCTGCCGTAGTCGTACTCCTCGTCGAAGTCATCCACAATCTCTTTGTCATACTTGTTGAAGTTTCTCTCTTTACCGTCTTGGATGTTCTCCTTGTCGATGCGAACGTATTCATCACGATTCCACGTACTTTGCTGATGGTAGAAGCCCAGGGCGTGCAGAAACTCATGCACAATGCTGCCTAAACGGAAGCAGCCGGTGTCCAGCGCATAATTCTGCAAATTCAACTGCTGTACCTGATTTCGGTAGCCCACGTAGGAGTAGCAACCGCCGGGCTCCGAAGTGACATTCACATAGTAAGGCTGATCGCTGGCGGCTTCCTTGAAGATTATACATGAATTCGCCTCGATTATGCGAATACCGCGAAGAATGTGATTACGATGTTCCTGATCTGGAAAGGGGAATACAAATTTCAATAAAATGCAGCTGTAAAAACTTCAAGGTAAATTTCACCAATGTTGCTATTTATGAAATAATAGACAATGCGATTGGGCCAGCGATAAGTTTTTTTGATCAACCCATTTCTGTCCTCGTTCAGGATCATATCGCCCTCTATATAGCCAGCCGTCAGCTCGGGATCGAGTTCAACTCCAGCTGCCGGTGCTTCAGGTGCTGCCGGTGCTGCATAGCAGCTCTTCATCAATGCAAGGATTATAAATATTTTAAGAATGTTCCACATGTTCACAACTGGATGCATTGTTAGCGACTGTTTCGTTATTTTTCCCACGCCTTTATAAATGGACTGAGAACCTTATTAACCCTTCATTTATGGCATTCATTAGGCAATTCGAAATTTACAGCTAATTTTTAGTTGGAAATAGCATAATCTAATCGAAAATAAATATCATTGGAAGCGTTTATGATCATTTTAAAGTACTTAATGAAATAATATTTTGAATTTGACTATAAGTTATCGTTAGCTATATTATTAAATGAAGAAGTTTTTGTAATAGCTCACAGTAGGCAAACGCGTCACCACAATATGGAAATTGCATCAATCAAATAAATCAATCAAATGTTTGTTAACGTTTTAAAAACTCAAGCTTCAAGATTGTTTGGTTTTTCTTTTATTATTCTTTTGTCGTGCGAAAGTTAGCGAAATGAAAACATCTGTCCCATTCACATATACATATCGAAATCAAAGTTCTATTTTGGGCTTATCATTCAAATTCAACATCGAGATTTGTTAACGTGTTATAGCTATTGAAAGTAGGTCGATAACGCATTCAGATTTTTATACTCATTTACTTTTTTTTTTTTTTTTTTGGTTTATTAAGTGTAGAAACTGTACAATCAGATATAGTACTTTAACAATACATATATATATACATAAAATTAGAGCCAAAATACTCATTTACTATAATTTTTTGTTGGGCATATGAAGCACCCTGTGCTCTACTGCAGTTGCATTCTTTTAGGAGTCATCTTCATGATGACCTGCTTTCAGAATTGTTTAGTTGCTAGGAATTACGGCTAATGGATTATACATCACAATATATGATCTCTATACTATATAGCACTATACTTGCTGGGGGCATTTGTACATCATGTTCAATTTATTGATATCCCACTGGCTCATTTGCAGTCGCTGACCCATTTGCTTCTCGGCGCCCTCTTTGAAGGGAACAATTGTCATTTCGCCGTTCTTGGAGAAGCCGTAGGGCGAGTAGTGCAGCACGCTACCATAGTCGTACTCCTGATCGAAATTATCCACTTTATCGTTGTCGAATTTTTCGAAGTTGTGCTCCTTGCCTTCCTCAATATTTTCAAAGGCTATGCGAACGTATTCATCACGATCCGCCGAGCTCTGCTCATGATAGAAGCCCAAAGCATGCAGCATTTCGTGCATTATGGTGCCCATACGATAGCAGCCTTCGTCCAGCGGATAACTCTCCAGATTCATTTGCTGCACACGATTTTGGAAGCCAACAGCTGTAAAGCAGCCGCCCGGCTCTGAGGTTATATTCACGTAGTATTTCTGGTCCTGGGTGACTTCCTGGAAGGTCAGACAGGAGCTTGCCTCGATTTTTCGCAAGCCCACTAGAATCTGCTCGCGATGTGGCTGATCTGAGTTATGATGTTGGTTTATTATTACTAGATTATCGCCTGATAAAGCGCCACCTACCGATATTGTTGTTAATGTAATAGTAGACAGTCCGATTGGGCCAGCGATAGTTATCTGAGCGCAGTCCATTTCGCTGCTCTGCACTGATAATCATATCACCTTCGCTAAAGCCAGCTGTCAACTCCGGGTCGACTTCTGTGCGAGCTGCAGGTACAGGTGCAAGTGCAGGTGCAGGCGCTGCACCGATATCCAGTGACAGCAAAAGGATTAAGCGGACTATTATCAAGAACCGGCTCATGCTACTCATGCTCGCTGAACGGACGTGGGTGCAATGAATAACAGAGGCGACGATATCACTCGCTTTGCTTTGGAATTTAATAACCTCGTAGTTTATCTTTATAGCGAATATTTATAATGTGTATTTACCGCAAAGCCCATAGACCATAGTTAGATTTTATCTAATCAGTTCGATTCGATTTGACCATATGCATTGGACTAGTCGCAGACTCTGCAACCCGCGCAGACTTCATTCGCGTACGTCTCTCGCAACTAGTAACTTCGCTATCGCAATGAAACACGTTTCTTCATCAATTTAGCGTATGTAATTCTGAAACAGCTCAAACTTTTCTGGGACACCTATACATGGTATTCAATTTATTAATATCGGCATCGCTCATTTGAAGTCGCTGTCCCATTATTTCCTCGGCGCCCTCGACCAGCGGCACAATGGTCATTTTGCCATTCTTCGAAAATGCGGTGGAGCTGTAGTGCATGACGCTGCCGTAGTCGTACTCCTCGTCGAAATTGTCCACTGTCTCGTTGTCGTACTTATTGAAGTTGTGCTCCATGCCGTCTTGGATGTTCTCCTCGTCGATGCGAACGTATTCATCACGATTCCACGTGCTTTGCTGATGGTAGAAGCCCAATGCGTGAAGAAACTCATGCACAATCGTACCCAAGCGGAAGCAACCGGTGTCCAGCGCATAATTCTGCAAATTCAATTGTTGTACGCGGTTTAGGTAGCCCACGTAGGAGTAGCAACCGCCGGGCTCCGAAGTGACATTCACATAGTAAGGCTGATCGCTGGTTGCTTCCTTGAAGATGAGACACGAATTCGCCTCGAGAATGCGAATGCCGCGAAGAATGTGATTACGATGTTCCTGATCTGGAAAAGGGAATAGAAATTACAATAAAATGCAGCTGCAACTTCAAAATAAATCTCACCAATGTAGCTATTTATGAAATAGTAGACAATACGATTGGGCCAGCGATAAGTTTCATCGATCATTCCATTTCTGTCTTCGTTCATGATCATATCACCTTCGAAATAGCCAGCCGTCAGCTCGGGATCGGTCTCCACACGATCTGATGTGACTGCAGGAGCTGCAGAGCAGCTCTTCATCAGCACAAGTAGTAGAAATATTTTAGGAAAGCTCCTCATGTTGACAGCTGAATGGATTGGTAGCGACTGTTGCGACATTTTATTTGCGCACCACTTCAGAAGCATGTTTTACACATCATTAATAGCGCCTCATTTATGGCATTCATTAAGAAATTTGAAATTTACAACTTAGGGCAGGGGCTTATCTAATCGAGAATCAAATGGCATTAAAGACTCGCACCGAGATATAGACTTGCGGGAGAAACCGTCTATAATTATTGGGAAGTATCCACAAACAAATACTAAATTTGTGTATATATTTATGAATATTAAAAGTTTGCAAATATTTATTTCTGATAGAATCATATTAATATATTTTATTATATGTCCATATGCACGCTGCTCACTTTAATTTAATCATTTTGCCAAACTGAAGTAAGTATGGCATGAATCGAACATTTGAATTTCTGAGATAGCTTCTTATCTATACCTATTGAAAATGCGAAACGTGGGTAATGGTTTAGATAAAGTGTATATAACAGGCGAAAGGAAGCGAGGCTGATCTCATAAAGCCTATACATATATAACTTTATTTCGATCAAGACATTAAGGTTAGTCGATATATATAAAAAACTGACGTAGACGTGGGGTGAAAATATCATCTATCCATATCTATAAATCTGTAGAATTATAGACCAGTTTTCTTTAGTATCATATTTGATTTTATTTATTTTTTATTATTTTAATTTTTGTTCTTTTTTTTTACCGTATTTAAAAATTCCTTAGTTTCCGCTTTCATTTTTATTTTCGACTCATCAACTGCATCTATTTGCAGTTTGTTAAGTTTGGGGGTCCAATTCATTTATTATTATTATTTATTATTTTTAATTTAATATATTTATTTTTTTTTATTTTTTCTTTTTTTGGTCATCTGGTAACTGACATAATTTGTTTCCATGAATCAATATAGCTCATGTAACTGTGCAAGGACTCAAACTTTTCTGTGACACTTATACATAGCATTCAATTTTCTAATATCAGCCCAGCTTAATTCTAGTCGGTTTCCGATTAACTTCTCGTAGCCCGCGATCAACGGCACAATGGTCGGCTTGCCATTCTTGGAGAATCCCATGGAGTTGTAGTGCATGATGCTGCCGTAGTCATATCCCTCGCCGAAATTGTCCACTTCGGTTTTGTTGTACTTGTCGAAGTTGTATTCCATGCCCTCTTCTATGTTCTCAAAGTTGATGCGAATGTATTCATCACGATTCCACGTACTTTGCTGATGGTAAAATCCCAAGGCATGTAAAAACTCATGCATAACAGTGCCCAGACGGAAGCAGCGTGGCTTAGACTTCTGTAAATTCAGCCGTTGTACACTGTTTTGGAAGCCCACTGCGGAGTTACAGCCCACCCCGTCCGAAGTGACATTTACATAGTAAGGCTGATCAGGGGAGGCCTCCTTGAAGATGAGACAGGAATTCGCCTCCAGAGTCTGAATGCCGCGAAGAATGGCATTACGTTGTTCCGGATCTGGAAAAGTGAATACAAATTACAATACAATTCATGAACTTGAAAATAAAACTCACCAAAGTCGCTATTTATATAATAGTAGACAATACCGTTGGGCCAGCGAAAAGTTTCATCGATCAATCCATTTCTGCCCTCGTTCAGGATCATATCGCCCTCGAAATAGCCACCTATCAACTCGGGATCGGTTTCATCAGGAACTGCAGGTGCTGCTGAGCAGCCTTTCATCAACGCAAGTACTAGACATATTTTAGGAAAGCTCCACATGTTCTCAATTGGATGCATTGGCAGCGACTGTTGCGGCATTTCTCCTCACGCCTCTTATAAGCGGGCTGAGAGCATCCATTTGTGACATTTAATAAGTTATTCGGAATTTGCAACAAAACTTAAAACAAAATTGTGTAAGGAAACAACTACGATTATTGTAAAGTTAATTTAATAAATATTTTTAATTTGATTTTAGAATATCTTTTGCTTCATTATTAGCTGAAGGAATGTTTGCAGTATCAATAAATTCTATTTTATTATCCGTAGGCACACGTAGCTCACTTTAAACTAATAATTTTATTATTATTGCAGTAATTATGACAGGAATTTTCCATTTGAAATGCGTCGATAACTTTATCAATATCAGAACATTTTCTTGGCATAGCTTCTTTTGCAAAAGCAATTGACTTTACTTGACAAGTTTGTGGAAATTTATTTGTCATATATAGAGCTTAAAATATCAATTGAAAATTGTTGGATATCTAAATTGAAAGAAATAAACTAATTATACATACAAACAAACAAATATTTATATTTAAAACAAATATTTAAATTTTAAAAAAAAAAATACAATATTTTAATTCTAATTTAATTTACCTGAACCAATTTCAAATAATATGTGAGCAAATATAAGCAGCTTAAAATTTGTTTTTTTTTTTTTATTATAAAAGTATTATATATAAAAATCATTTAATAATTCTACTTTTGTTTAATAATATAGTATTGCCTTTGATAAGTTCAAGTCAATAAATAAAGCAAATATATTGTTTTTAACTATAGATGGGATTCGTACATTATTATAAAGTTAAGTAATCTCGAAATTAAATGAATGCCAAATCAAATATGTTCATCTGAAATATTTCCTTTCTCCATGCTTTGCCCATATTACTGTGTGAGTTACCTGCTGCCTGCGTGACCTTTTATCAGTTGCCTTGTCACAATCAGTTGCCAAAATAAATCTGAGCATAAACGACAGCGACGCAGAGTGTATTTAATTACATTTGTCAACACAATAAACGGATTAAGTCAGGCGCTCAGTCACGGATGGAGAACTGAAAGCGGGTGACTAAATGACAATATGGCAATGAAATTTATCATCATTAAGTTGACTAAATGTGAAAAGAACTTTCGCCCACCTTGGGGAATGTGTCACATGGAAATTGTAAAAGACATTAGCGTGTAGTTATATTATGGAATATTATATGGCTGCATTTGGTATATGTATTACATACATATAATTGCTTTATGAATATTGGGAGATATACGAACAAGTCTATTTAATAGGGCTAAATCACGTTTGCATTGCGGTTTTCCTTTTTGGGGTGCTCATCGACGGTTGACTGTAAATTATATATGCAATTTTACCAAGAAAATATTCGTCACTGATTCACAGACTTTATGATTTGAAAGAAGACAGATAATGATAGAGAGAGAAAGAGAGAGAGAGAGAGAGAGAGAGAGAGAGAAAAGAGGTGATTGAGAGGCGGAAGCTCAATCATGAAGCTGGTTTTACGAATTCGCTTCAATCGGGTTCATTCAATCAGCCAGCTTAGTAAAAAGATTTTAAGTTAAGCTAACCAGCTTTAATGGGAAACTAATATGTTTGAAGTACAAATGAATTAAAATGAATAGAATTCAGATTTGGTGGCATTTAAATTTGCATTTGCATTTGCAATTGGAAGCAACAGGAATCAAGTGTCTCCTCTCGCCAACAACTGAATTTTGTGATTCCTGCTGACTGTTAATCCGCAAAACAAAAAGCTTTGCAGCGCAGCCGGTAAAGGAAATGTTCGCATTTGGCTTTGCTTTGCCTGGCACTAAAAATTGAATATTTAGTGGTCGTAATTAAAAATTAGCGCACCAGCAGCAAAGCAAAGCAAAGCCAACAGCCAAGAGCTGAAAACTGAAAGCTGAAAGTAATGCCCATGGCCATAATACCCGCACGAGCTTGTTATCTGTGCGACTCTCTCTCACTCTCTCTCTCTATCTCTCTCTCTCTCTCTCTCTCTCTCTCTCTCACTCTATCTCTCTTTGTGTGTGTCGTTCTGGGTGTTATATGCACCTGACTCGTATATGCGCGTATATTTGGCTTTAATGGCAACCGCCAACTTGCTGCAACACACACATACACATATATATAAAACGGAAGTCGTAAGCATTTAATTTATGCAGGCAATGCATTTGCGTTTTTAGTTACAACTAAAGATGGCCAACAGGATGGGCAACCGGATAGCTGTAAAGTCACAGTGGCAAAAGACAAGAGAGAAAAGCACTGCAAGTGCTTTGACTCAGATACTCTAACATGTTAAGAGAAGAGGAATATATTATATTTATATTTGTATAAGAATATGGATATAGATAAAGCAGTTATATTGCTCGGTTATAGGTTAAACTTTTATGATAAGGTAAGGTAGCACGAGCTGCTTCCAATCTCCAATCTCTCTCAAAGGACTAGGAAAAATAATAAATAATTCATAGAGATCATAAACATTCGTAAAAATTAACAAACAATTTTTAATGAGTATTATAATGCTAAGATATTTTTTTCTGTACACTTAAGTAAGTAGATAATCAATGAATTTAAAAAATAAAACTAAATAACTAAATATAGTAATATCTTAAAGAACTTTCGCTGACCAATTTAAATGCTGAAACACAATCTCCAGCAAAGCACAATCTAAGTGCATTCAAGACTTTTTAGTGTTGTGCGTGGTCTTAATATATATTTTGAAAATAATATAAATGGAATTTAATGAGTTGAGGTGGATGATAGGCGAGCGCCTGGCCATCAACTATTACCCAAGAGCAGTAAAAAAGTCTGCGCGTTGGCCAAGTTTTTGTGTGCTGCTGCTGTTGGCTTTTACTCGAGACTCGAGACTCCAGACTCGAGACGATTCGTTGCCAGCTCTGTGCTGCTGATGATCGTTCTAATTTTATGACATTCTATTTTCATGCATAGGCAAAGTAAAGTGTGTGGGTGTGTGTGTATTGTGGGTGTGCGTGTGTGTGTGAGAGAGTGCAGGCATAGCCATTTCATAGTCAGACATGAATGCTGCGCTTTGTTGCTGTGCTACGCCTTTGTTTGTATTGCCCTCAGGGGTAAAGTTTTTAGGATAATAACTTCCTGCGACTTTACGAGCCAAGCAAAAGCCAAAACCCAGCAGCACAAGCAACCAGCAACAACAACAACAATCACAACAGCAGCAGCAGCCAAGGGGAAATGTGAATACTCAAGTCGGTGAGCGCAGTGCATATGAACAAAATATCTTGGAACCACACTTAAAGCGCACTTAGCGAACAACCATCTCAATGACACAAGATGCAAACATTGTTCTTGGCCAACAATTAATCTTGATATAAGCTTGAACTTGAATGAGGCACTGAGCTTTTAAGCAACCAAAAACTTTAAGCTGCCAGCACATTTCATGTATTTTGTTTTAATATTAAACAAATTTAAAAGACGTTTTAAATACCTAAAGCTTAAACACAGCACATGAATTTAAAGAAACTTTTATACGCTTAAAAGCTGTATCTGAATTTAAAGCTTTTATATTCCCTTTGAGATATTCTGAGAAAGCTTTGACACCAGTACAGTAAATCTAATGAAAGCTTTTAGTATATACCCAATAAAATCTACAAATTAACTATAGACTATATATAAGGTAAATACTGATAAAATATTTAAAAAGCTTAATTCTATAAAAAAAAAAAGGGCACTGAAAACTTAAAGCTCGATTAACTTGTGTTTGTAGCTAATGTCATTCGCATACAAAGCTAAGGCAAATGCCAAGAAATCAGCACATTAACACGATGGAAGCGAGAAACTCTTAGAGATTCGCACCCGGGAAAGCCGCATAAACTTTTGACGTTGAGGAAGACCGCAAGGACAAGCAGCAGGCGAGGGCGGTGCGAGGTGAGGATTGAAGACGCAGAGATGCTACTACATCCATGACTCTGGGCATAATCTCAGACATAATTACACACAGACAAGCAGACAGGCGGACAGGCAGGCGGACAAACAGGCAGACAGACAGAGCCTGACAAATGCAGTCTCACATGAATGGGGCTGCCTGCCGGCTGGTTACATTTTTGCTTTCTATCTTTCTGCGATTTATTTGTTGTAGCTGCTTTTTCAGTTCCAGCGAAAGTTACATTAATGTCGGCCTTAAAGGTGCCACAGGTTGGGCGCGGTCGCAGTGTGACTTACACGTTAAGTGCAATTCGTTTCGAAACTTTGCGTCAAGCAACTGTTAAAAGTGCATTTAAAATTAATTAAGCATACGACGTGTTGTCTGTGCGACTAGACAACCTGTCAAATAAGTGTGAGCCACAGCTCAAATACTCTCTAATAGATGGTACGAAATGCAATACATATGCACTTAACATCTTATAAGCATGCAAAGGATAATTGTTAAGAATATGCTCAGCAAGTGATACACAAATTATCAATGACGACTATTAATGGGATTTAGTTTACCTGTTTATACACTGCGCGTCATCAGGTTAGCGCCCCCCTTTACACTCAACCTCAAAGCTAAATAAAATCTAAACCAGCAGAGCTCCAGCTTTGAAATTTTTTTACATTATACTCCATTTATTTCTCTATAAAATACAAAAAGAATGGCTACTGTAACAATAAGGATTATTTTTTAATATTTTTTTTTTGTAAAATGTACAAAAAACATGTAACAAAATTTTGGTCATCAGATTAGCGCCCCCTGCGCTAAATTCAATTTATTTAAGTTAATTACCAAAAATAACACCTGTATTTTAAGCTATTGTTATTTTTAAGTAATATTAGTAGTGCGTAGTGCCGTTTTTTGTTTGAAATTACTTTAAAAATTCGATTAGGAATGGAATTATAAAGTTGTTCAATATTATTCAAGGATATGGTTGATTAAGCGTGTTCAGTACCTTCGATTAACTCTGTCTTTGCACTATAATGCTTTCCGGACTCATATACTTTCCTGACCAACCATCCCCAAACGTTTCCAATGATATTAAGGTCGAGTGAGTATGGTGGCCACTCCATGAGATCAATTTTTTGGCCCTGAATCCAGGACTTCAGGGATCGGGCGTTCTGAATTGGGGCATTATCATGCTGGAAAATCTAATGCCGGTTTTCAGACAGGTTATAGAAATGCGGAACAGCAGTTTTAAACACGATGTTATAGTCCTATGCGTTCATGCGCGATGTCAAAAATTGAAGCTTACAAGCGCTGTAGTAAGATATTGCACCCTACATCAATGCCACACCACCCCCCCGCCGCAGCGGCTTGGAAACCGTTCCAAATAATGTTCTTCTATGAGTAGGTCATGGATATAATAATTATAGCCATCAGTTCCTTCCAAATTCAATTTTTATCATCAGAAAAGCCAACATGCTGCCATTGGATAGACCACGTCATGTTCGCCCGGCCAAAATTAATGCGTATTTCTTTTCTCAGCATATCGACTGGTGACTTTTTTTTTACATTCTGTTTCTTTAAGTAATTAACTTTCTTAATTGCTCTTTAGACCGTTGATAAGCTCGTCTTAACACTGATTTTAACCCTAATCTTGGTGGTCGATTCGTGGGAATTCGAAGCTTCTCGAACTAATGCTCTTCTATTTCCTTCTGAAATCACTTGATTATTGCCGCTTATATAGTTTTTTCCATAGTTTTCCCTATTTGTAAGAAAATTGCCACTTAGTTTTGTGTTTTTTCCTGATTTTTCAGCAATTTTATGGTTGCATAGTCTAGATTCAAAGTATGCCTCAATCTTTGATTTTCAACCAAAGATAAAACTGTTTCTTTACCCATACTATAAATATATTGAATACTTTAAGCTTCACAAAAAATTTGGTGAGTGTAATTGCCAAAATAAGCAAGATAATTACAATTGCATTTGGGGGCGCTAATCTGATGACGCAAAATAAGTGCACACATTTTTTGCGAAAATACAGAAGAATAGAAAATAAAACATAACGGGTTTTCACTCGCGGTTTTTTTTGGTATGAGAGACATCTCATATGATGATAATGAAATAAACAAAAAACCAAGAAGTTGCGTGCAATAGGCAAAGAGAAAAACGTAAAAGAAAATGAGTGTAAGGGGGGGCGCTAACCTGATGACGCGAAGTGTATATACATATATTACAAAATATATTCACATATCTAAGAAAAATATTCGCAGCCTAATCAGTATTTAATTTTTAATATATTTCTCTGCTATATATATATAAAAATATATATATATAGCTTTATATATATATATATAGCTTTATACATAAGAAATACCAAAAATATTAAATTAATAAAATTGTAAAACTATGCAGCTAATGGAGTTTGCAATTAAAACTTTTGCAGACGCATAATTTGATTTAACGCCTGACTTTGACTCTCTCTCTCTCTCTCTCTCACTCTCTTCTCCTTTCTTTCTCTCTCTCTCTTTCTCTTTGTCTGTCTAGTTTTCACACTCCATTTCTCTTTCGTTCTTTCTCTATCTCTCCCTCTTCCTCTCTAGCTATTTTACTCATGGTGTCTCTGCAATCAAATCAAAATGCCAAGTTAAATGAAGCCAAAAGTTTCAATGTATGTGCAGCATTTTGAAGCATTGCTTCACACACACACACGCACATATTTGCGCCCACTGTCTGCCATCCATTTGGAATTCTGTGGCCTCAGGCCGCTTAATACGCGGCTTCTAAAACTTTAGGCACAATATCGCTAATGATAATTACAAGCTAAAACTTTTGCAACATTTGCTAGTCCTTTGCTACTTGCCACGACCCACACACACAAACATACATACGTGTGTTTGTTTGTTTTCCAGTTGGCAACACCAAAGCATAAATATAAAATATTTCACTGGCTTACGCAAAAGTACAGCAAAATGTGAAATTTACCAGAGAATATTAAAAATGTGCCATGATAAAAATAAACGTATATATATATATTTTATTTATATATAAATAAATATTTATATTTATAAATAAACTAGCGGCTTCCAAATATTGGGATTTTGGATATTATTCACATATACTTATATATATTATATATTAAATTTAAAATTGTATTTTTATATGTTATATAAATAGATTGATTTTGTTTTATCCTCTCATGTCTTGTAACCATTTTTTTTTTTTTTTTTTTTTAATGTTAGATATTTTCTGGATATGTTTATATTTTTAAGAAATATTTATATATATAGATCTATTGATTTTCCAGCTTTTAGACATTGGAGAGGGTTATTCAAAATAGATAGAGCACGTGTTTATATTTAAAAATAAAAATATGTTTTAACACATATACGTAAATAGAAATTTAATATATAAATATATGCTAAGAATCTTTGATGTATAGATAAAATATAATTTTCGTATAATCTTAGGTTAAGCAAAAGCTAAACTATTATTTGATATCTAAGACGAGTAAATACTATTATTAAATTTTAATTTTACTTTTATGGATGCAGAGCTGGAAAAATAAGTTATACTTATATAATTATATTATATATTATATACATGATCTATATAATTTAAATGATCTTAATAAACTCGTCTGCTGATAGCAGTGCAATTTCCGTTCGTCAAGACTTTAGAAATTCCATTTGATAATCCCAAAGCTATTTCAAGTTTAACTACTTCGACAGCGAATGTTAGTTGAACAGCTTTATTTCTGCTGTAAAATATTCGCCGCAAATGAAGTGCAAATTAGCTACGCGTGTGAGCCGGTGCGGTGTTACATTTGACTATCAAAGAGGCATGCCGTGAAACAAGCCCCAGCAAGCACGACGAGCACGATGGGCACGATGAGCCGCCAACTTATCAGTGGGAGCGAGCGGGAGGGAGAGACTCAGATTTTTATGGGAAAACTTTTATTCATTTGATGGGAAAAACTTTAATAGATTAATTAAGCAAAGCGCTCGCATTGCAGGAAATTGAAACCAACAAGGGAAAGAGGGAGAATTCAAACATAGCAAGTGAAAGAAAAAGTGTAAGATTTATGACAAAGACTGTAGATCAGCTGCCTTGGAGCGCTTCTAATTTCAATTGCAAATGCCAAAGGCGAAAGTTTTTGACAGTTTTTGCTGAAATTGTGAATATTTTATTGCCTATTTTCGGGCAGATGCACACGCTTAACACAGAAACACATACATACATAAATATTGAGTGGCGTCGACAGCGGGCAGCGATGCGCGAACATCGCCTTTTATCGATTTAATTTAATTAAAATTAATTCAGCAATAATTGACTTTTAATATGCAATCATTTGTGTGAGAGTGCTGCGATAGCTCCTCTGCGAAATACCCGATTCTGAAAATTCGCATTATGCATCATTAACAAATTACGATTTATTAAATTGTGCAGACGCTGATAGCTGCAATTGAGGCCAGACGCTCAGCGCATCGATGTGAGAAACGTGAAGTAAGAGAAGGCGCCCTGTAGTATCTGCAATGAGAGCGAGAGAGAGACAGACAGACTGAAATGAAATAACTGTAAGCAAAAGATGTGCGTGTTTACCTTTATAACTGCCTGCAGGCTGACTCGAAAGTATTTTAAGCCCGTCATATAGTAAGTCCTGCAGCTCAGCTCGATTGAGAGCGCAACGAGCTTTATGAGTCGCAGATTCTCACATGGATTGGTGGAGTAATAGATCACCTGTTCCCATTGCGTTTGATAGTACATGGTGCTCAGGGCGTCTGTCTGCACGGTGAGATTTTGAATCTTAGTTTCAAACTCAACTAAGATCATCTCTAGCTCTTACCACATAGGCCAGGTCGGAGCCCAGCTTACCCAATGTGAGCAGTTCTATTGTCTTGGCACCAAACCACATCGGATATATATAATTGCCCGTTGGACTCTGTCGATTAGTTAAAAGCAAGTGAATCAACTCTCGGCTATCACACACACACACACACACTTACCACAATCGTCTTGAAGCCCAGGGCGCAGAGCAGGAGCGCGCTACCGGCGAACATTGCAAATACGCGTACCGTGAAATGCGCCTCGAGCTGCTCTCCAAATTGATTGAGGGCCACGTTTTGGCGCAGAGTTTTGACCAGCAGCTCGCGCAGCTGCTGTGCCATTAGTGGACGCTGTCGGGCGGCCAATATCTGCTCAATGGCCGCGTCCATGTCTTGCTGCAGCAGTATGTAGCGACCTTTTAGGTGGGTGAGCAGCTCGCAGAGGAGCGTCGTCTCTCCGAACTCCGCCGTAGCTATGATGACACCCACCCAGACGCTGCTCAGGGTATGGGGAACGAATAGGTAAAGGGGCTCAACATCGAAGGCCGGAATCATGGGATATACAAATTCCTTTTGCCTCCTAATCAGCATCATGATAGGCGCTATCACATAGCCAGAGACGGCCAAAACATATAGTGAGGCAACCAGTCGATTGGGCAGCAGCTTACGCTCGATTTGCTGAAAGAGTTTCGGCTGTGCCCGACGTTCCACATAGATCGAGGCGAAGTACGTTTGCAGCAGCTGATGCAGATCTTCCCTGTAGAGCAGAGCATGCAAGGAGCGCAGCTGAAACTCGAAGAGGATCAAGTAGGTGGGCATCCCGGTCAGCAGCGTGTCCAGATTGTTGCGCTGCGAGCGCAAATATCGCAGCTCTGCGTCGTTATGCAGCAACAGGACGAAGCAGCCAATCCAGGCACAGACGTAGTCAAAGCGACGCCAAAAGGTCGAGGTGGCCGCATCGAGGGGCCAGAATATGTGACTGTAGCGGTAAATAGTCAATGGCCAGGAGAGCTCCACTCTTCGGCCATCAGCCAGCCGAGGCACGTAACGAACCATAATCCAGACTATAAGTGACTCTTAAGCAGACATTGGCTTATATACTACAGTATCAACACACACATACATACATACAGTAGCCATTCGCTTGAGGGACTTCGCTGTTGACAGTTGGCAACTTTTTAATGAGCTCTCCCATGCGTGCAATGGCTCAATTAAGTTATTAGCCCAAAACAGAGCATTGGAAACAGTTCAAACTTTAACAACAATTTTGGCTCATTTGCTATGTAATCGTTTTGTCCTCAAATATTTGAGCAGAGTTTCCCCCTTAGAGGGGTACTGCTTTCAATAGCAGAACCTGATGACGTTAGCCTAAGTAAAATTGTTTTCAACTCAAAATTGTTTTGAGTTAATTATTTGGATTTTAAGAAATATGTTTCTGCTATGGAAATTTCTTATCCTAAAATGATTATTAACCTTTTGAACTTATCTTACAATACAAAAAAAAAAAAAAATCTATTGTCAGTAACATGGGTAAAAGAAAAAAAATGTGTATAAAAGCCGCAAATATTTTTATTTTATTTGAATAAGTATATTTGAATTATTTTGTTTTTTTTTTTTTTTTTTTTATTTGCACATATATTTTAATAAATTTAAATGTTTGTTTTCCATAATATTTGTTAACATATTAAACAGAGGTAGAAGGCATATCTACGGAAAGTAAAAGTACATTTATATTGAGTCTAATATGCACAAATATAATATTATATAATACAAATATATGAAGGCAATTTCTTAACTGGAGCTGCTCAACTAATTTTCTCATTATAGAATAATTTTAACTCTTTATTTATTTCGTCAAAATCCCTTCAAGGAATTTATATGATCTAAGCACAGCTTGCATATAAAAGTTGATTGTTTGATTCTCTACGCTCTCTTCGAGCAACAGCAATGATCAACCAAAAAATATCATTCTCTCTCGCTCGCACCTTGAGCGAGGAACTTCCGTTCTTTTCGTGAGCAAATAACGGTAATCACATTCACTCTCAATACACCTACGCAAGACAATATGTTTGGCAAGCTCACACTCACACACACACTAACACATACAAAAGACTTTACGCTTCATTTAACTCAACCCAACGGCCGAAAAACAACCGAAGTGAAATGAAACAAAAACAAAAACAATGCGAGTCGATCGCAAACGAACGCGTTGCACTCAAGTCCAATGCCTTTGGCTGCTCCTCGAGTAAAAGACAACAATTGAAGATATTTTGAAAAAAAAAAAAAAAGGCATTATGATAAAACACTTAGCCCCTTCGGCTAATTACCTCGGTTTTCATTTGAGACCCAGTTGTATTTTAATCTACAGCGAATATCTCTCTGCACAGAATACCAAAGTAATCAACAGGGCTACTCCAATCCAACCAGCAGCACTCGCCATGCTTTCAGGCTAATATTGTCGAATGTAAGTCCGCTGCCTTAACGCCCCCAAGGCAACTAAGTCAACGCTGTACACTAATCCCCTATGTGTTCATTTAGTTGGCGCTGCATAAAAAAGTCACTTAAGTAATTCATAAAAATCAATTAACTCCAAAGCGCAACTTTTGCACCCAGCAATGGCATTACTTGCCCTTGCTTTGCAGTAGCACCCCTCCACTCCACTTCACTCCAGTCCACTTGACTTCGCTCTGCTGCAGCTGATGGCAGTCTGACGCATTTGCGGCTTGCCATCTGCAGATAGTGGCAACAGTTTGTGTTATGAATATTTTAAGAGACCGTTAAGCAACAGAGACAAACAGCGCAAACAGCGGGAAAAAGCGAAAAAGCCCAAGTCCGACATCCACTCGCCTCATTCAGCCCAGAGTCCACTCCACTGTGTCTATGTATGTGTGTGTGTGTGTGTGTGCTCAAAGTCCAGTTGGAGCTGCAGTTTGCTCGCCACATTCATCTTAATTTCCTGTCACGACAATGACAACGACGTTGCCGCTGCTCAGACCCGGCACGCTGAACGCCAGTCGAGCCAAGAGTGCGTGTGGCAACAATGAAAATCCGTAGAAAAAAGAAGCCCTCAATTCCACCTCTGCTTGCCCCAGTCGCACTCCACAAGCAACTGATTTTTTTCTAGCGCTTTTCAAGCCTTTGTGGCAAATGTTTTGCAACAGCAACAGCAACAGCAACAGCAGCAGCAACTGTGTCTAGTGTCCGTCGTGCTCTCCGTCCGTGGGCTTTGTTTTGCCATGTGGCATAGCGTGGTGCGAGTCCATTGCGATGCCGAATGCCATCAAACGGCAAAGGGCCAAAAGCGTTTCTACAGGCATCCAAAACGGCGGCATAAACAACACAAATGTGAGTTAGCCATTCGCTGTGTGTGAGCGAGGAAGCAGGGCAAAAACTGTGTCTGTATGCGTGTGTGTGTGTGTGGCAGCTTCCCTTTTGCCATTGTGTGCGATGCTATCGCGTGCCACAGGATATTGCACTCTAAGCCAGTAGATGGCGTCATGTAAAGCTGGACAACATCCGATTAAAACTTTACGATGTGCGTGTATCCCAGACGTCCCTCTGTGTGTGTGTGTGTGGGTGTGTATGTCTCTGCCTGTGTATGTGTGCAAATGGAAGTGTGCTGGTGTGTTCTCGTTGGTCAGCAAGTGGATAAATTCTCATTTACTGCTCTTTTAAGCACGTTGTTTTTGTCGCTTTTTCTTTGCTTTGCTTGTCAGCTTGAAATGCCCTTACTAATGGTCGGGTATGCGAGTTCTTTGATTGACCTTAAAACTCATTAATATTGTGTTTTAATGTATGTCTTGAAGTTTTTGATTTTAATTGTATTGACTGCAGTACACTGAGCTTTGGGAAACAGCAGAGATAATTACACAGGCTTAACATTCTTAAAGCTTAAAATTCGAGAAATGTGGTTTATAATACATTAGATAATATTCAATAGATACAATAATAAATATAATATTATATAGATAGATTTTTTTTTCCTCTTAATCGCTTTCCCCTTCTCTCTATGTGTTCTTCTCTCTGTTTATCATTCCCTCTTTCTCTACAGCTCTCCCTCGCTCTGTCTGACTCTCTCTATCTCTCCCCTACTCTCAATATTTCTCTCTCTCTTTTTCACTCTCATTCTCCCTCTTTCTATTTCACCATCACTGTCGCTCAACTGTTCTGACCTTATCTGTTTCTATTCAGCTTATAAAAAACTATATAATTATCACTTTTTAAATAAATTTAAACTATTTTTTTTTTTAAATTTAAATTTCTATTTCTATGTTGATTGCTGATTGTTGATTGTAGTGTATTCAATTGTCAGCTGTCAGTCGTCTGTTTTATTTTTTGTACTAAATGTGCATACAGCTGCCGCTGCTGCAGCGCCCTCTGTTGGCTAGTTTCAGCATGTGTGTAAATTGTCCCCTCGTTATGGGGCTGAGCGTGGCTGTTGCTGCCGGTGCTGCTGCTGCTGCTGCTGCTGATGGGGCGGGAGGTTAGTGTTTGGGGCAATAGCGCGGCATGTTAAACTGACCGCAAGCATTGTTTATCATTAAGTGCGGCCAACCGGTCACCCGACGGCTCCTCTGCCCGTTCGCCCTCACCCCCACTGGAGCTCGGCTGTCTGTGCGTCGAGTGGCCATGGCCAGGACTCTGCTGCCTGGGCCGACTTGCTGCCACATGTGGCACATGACATATGTGTCAGAGGGCTGTGCGTGCCAGCGGCTCTTTCTTTCCTTATTTATTTTTATATATATATATATTTTTTTTTTTTGGCTGGCCAACTGGCCAAACATGTGTAGCGGGATTCCATCTTCATGTGGTAGCTGCTGCAGCTTTCGGTTAATGGAGCCGTTAGTTAGTCGCAGAGCCGTCGTGTCAACCCGAAATCTAAATGAAATACGTAGCTTAAAGAGCTCAAACATTAAATAAAGCAAATCGAATAAACTGCAAAGTTTTTTGGCCAACGATTCCCTTTGTCCTGGGGCCCCGTTGCCCCGCAGAGTGCAGCGAGTGCATGCAAAACTTTTGTAATTAGGAAGCAATGTCGGTCATTAGCAGAGCGAGGCGACTGCGGAGTAGGATGCATGGATGTGGGTGGTGTGGGTGGAGGGGGCGGTGGGAACGGCAACTGCTGCGGCTGCCATTCAGAGAAGCTACCACAAAAAAGCGTCAGAAGTCAAAACAATAACGCAAATGTTCAGTTCGACCAAAAGGCAAAGGAAAACTCATTCGATAGCCACGAACTCGAAATGCGCTTTATATTCCACTTATAGCTAAAGCTGAGATCATTTCAGCTTTTTTCCCGCCAGATCTGACATTGTTCAAAGTCTGCTCGCGTTAATATGCCAAAAGCTCAATTTTTTTCAGTCTTTTCCGGTCAGTTCTGGGTTTTTCCAAAGTTAAGTCTAAGGCGGTCACTGATGCCATATTAGCTTTTTCCGGTTAGATCTGGCTTTTGTCAAAGTCCGATCGAGTAAAAAATTTGCGGGAAGCAAAAATTCTAGCTATTTTTAGAATTTTTTCTTAATTTTCTATGTTTCAATAATGTGTAAAATTCACAGCTCAACTGTTTTTTGGTTGCATTTCCAGCTAAACACTTCTTAAACTACTTTGATGAAAGTCTGAAGTCTGAAGTCTGAATTCATATGAAATTTCTCTTCTTCTTCCAATCAATCTCTGATGCAGCACGAAGTAATCCCATGAAGGAGCCATTATGCTCGGACTCAAGACTCTTGAGCACCGCAGCCAAACAAAGAGCTACTAAACGAACTCGGGCGATGGCACCCAACATTTTGGCTAACAATACTCTAATAGAAATTGCAAAAAGTCAACCAAACAGAGATGGGAATAGGGATGGGGGATATTTGGGGGCTGCTTTTGTACAATTGGACGAGCATCAAACGTAATTTTAATAAAGTTTGAATGCAAAAGTTTCTGATTTGAAATGCATATAAAAGTTAACTACTTCCGACGCTCGCTGCGAACGAAAACTGCAAAAGCTGAATGTGTGTAAAAAGTTTGCTATTTTTATTTTATTTTATTTTTTATTCTTATTTCAAGTTTCTTTCCTTCGTTCTTGTTGCATTCGTCGTGGCGATCGAGGGTCGCGTGGAGAGTGGACGACAGACGGCCACTAACATGGCTCAAACAAACAGCGGATGTGGCAGGGCACTGGTCGCGCCTCCTCCTGCCCAGAGACGCCACGACGCTGCGTCGCGCCAGGTCATGGTCATAAATTAAAGGCAACAAACCGACTGCGGAAGTAAGTCGCAAACGGACGAACAGCGAGTGCAAAGACAGCGCTGCTGCTGCCACTGCTGCTGCAGTGTGCTGTGCACTGTGGCGGCGTGGTCGCAGCGCCGACAAGTGGATTTGTGGCCATTACATCTTGAACCACACAACCGACTGTCCGGCTCGGACAGGCAGCTGAAGCTGTGCGGAAGCGCAAGCTGTGCTGTTAAATAGCCTCGAGTCAGCCGCTGCCTCAGCTTCAGCTTCAGCGGCGTCTATCGTTGTCGTCGTCGTTGTCGTTGTCGTTGTCCTGGCTAACGATCAACTCGCAACAACTAGCCCCAGGCCGGACTTCGAAGTTTTTTCGTGGAGCAACTGAAGCTGGATGTAGATGCAACGGATGGAAGTGTTTCATTCCACCAGCGGCAACTGACTTCCCTCTCACACTTACTCCTCCTACTCCTGCTCTCTCGCTCTGTCTATCTGTCATTTTCTGCATCTCTTCTTATTTTCTCCTTTTGGATTTGCAAAGACTTTTCGTTTAGCGTTTTCTAGATATGTTGCCTTGGCTTCTGACTTGAATATGCATCTAAGAGTAAGCTCAAGTGCTTTCATAGAGCTTGCCCGACTAGCAAGTACCCTGTGTTTGTTTAATATCATAATATACATATAATATAAATATGTAAATATCATTGCCTAAGCTGAAATTCTCTTACTAAATTATGCGCTAATTGAACTATCAAGCAATATCCATTAAAGGTAGATAATACTCTTTAATATTTTATTCACATATAACTTCATGCCAAATCTCTTTCAATAATTGCAATTTACACCTGCAATGGGCACTTATACATGGTGTTGAGGCGGAGTATGTCGGCTTTGCTCAACCCAAGTCTTTGGCCCATTTGCAATTCACCCTCGGGCTGCAGGGCGACAATTGTGGCTTCGCCATTCTTTGAGAAGGCTTTGCTGTTGTAGTGCAGAACACTGCCGTAGTCATATTTGACATCGAAGCTCTCGACTCGGTCCGCTTCGTACTTCTTGAAGTTGCCCTCCTTGCCCTCGGTTATGTTTTCCTCAACAATTTTCACGTACTCATCGCGATCCGCGCTGCACTGCTGATGATGGAAGCCCAGAGTGTGCAGCAGCTCGTGCTCTATGGTGCCCAGTCGAAAGCAACCGACGTCCACGGCGGCCGGCTTCAGCTTGAGGGTCTGCTCGGCGCCGAGGTAGCCAACCTTGGAGCTGCACCCAGTCTCCGAGACAGTGATGAACACATAGTCCAAAGTATTCGGCGGAACGGGCACAAAACGTATGCAGGAGACAAGTTCGATGCGTCGCATTCCCAGCTTAATATGTTCCGTTTGCTCAGAGTCTATGATAATGGGAATATATTGAAATCGTGAATGGAACATCTGAGGTGCAACACCTACTGAAAGCCTCGTCTATCTTGTAGGGGACTGTGGTATTGGCCCAGCGTCGGGCCGGGGCTATTTCTCCATTTCGTTGAACCTCCACATCCATGTCGCCCTGGAAGTAGCCAGCCGTAAGCTCCGGATCAGCTTCCGCCTCCTGCTCCTTGACGGGTGCCCCCCAAGCGCCCAAGCAAAGGCAGGCGATTAGCAGAGGAACAAAGCGTGGCCGAGCTGCAAACATTTTTAACTAATCCGTTGAGCAGTTCACAATTGCCTAATTGGCCCACAAATAACATTTTTGCTTGCGAATTATAAAAAAATATCTCAGGCTTGATAAAGGTAATCAGCTTTCGATTCGCTACTTATTATACCCTATACATGCGGTACTGGCGAAAGGGGGTCTATTGATTTTATGTTAAGAGATTCTCATTATGTCTTAATGAGTTATTTGTAGATGTTTATTAGGTGATTTGTCGTCATTTCTTCATATCATGAATGAAACTGATTCGAATTACAAAAAAAAAGAAACGACTTTTTTTCAAATACCTAATTGACACATTACTCTTCAACTATTTTAATAGTACTGTGTTCGGCAATTTCTTTTATATATTGCGTGATTAGGCTAATCAGCAATAATTGCTGGTATTGTTTTTTTCCTGTTCTTTCATATATTTCTCCCAGCTAAATATAGTAATAACTAGTAAATGAATATAAGCTAAAAAAAAAAAAAAAATAAAAAATAAAAAGTGTTTACAATTTATATAAATTTTAATTTATATTTATTTTATATCGTATATGCTTAAAATATATAAAAGCTGATGCGCCTATATACACTTTTCGATTTGTAATATATTTTTAATATATTTAAAATCTGAATAATTTATGACCATTCTCAAGGTGTGCAATATACATACATATATTTTTTTTTTTAATTTTTTTTTTTTAGTTTTTTTTCTTCACCCATTTTGTTTTTATTCATATGAGTGATTAGGAAAACCCAGAAACAATTTCTAAATGGAGACAACTGACACTTTTTTTAAAGTTTTATTAGAGTTTTGTTAAGTTTTTATATGTAAAAAGCAAATCACTGAGTCTTAAAAATGTGGGTGCAAACATATGTATGTATATGATTGTATATTCAACAACCCTCAATGATGCCAAAATAATCAAAGGCAGCAATATGTAGCACATTAATTAGACTTTTTAGCATATAATATAACAATCAAACAATTACTACAAGATATATATAAGTCCTTGCAAATCCAATCTTTGCTCATATCTATATTTTATAATATATTCTAGGTACATATATGTTTATATATAAATATAGTATCGATTAACTATACTTTTTCATACATCAAAGAGATGAAACTAAAATTGTTTTTAAACTCTCCGACTTTTACTACCCTTCTTACTTTAAGAACAAGTATACTTATTACAAAAATATTATGAATTTCCCAGTACCAATTAGTAAATATTCATATACTATATAAATCAATATTATATATGTACAATCATTATAAAAAGGTATTATATTAATACTTAATTCAAATATAGTTCATAGATATAGATATATAGTATATGTCACTCATTCATTATTACCACATAATCATCGTATATCACTAATCTGATTTGTGATATCGTCTAATCAGGCACAGTGTCATCTCTATCAAATCACATCTATGCATCAGCGATGCCTTAAAACTGGGATTTCCAGTCGCTCACCTGCGTACAAACTTCAACAGCTAGTCCAAAACTTTATGACAAACAAAGCAGCCGTCGGCAGCTGTTGGAAAGCACTTGCCTGCATTTGGGCCAGCTGTGTCGATAAGCACCGATTCGCTTATCTTATCGCACTGGAAGACCGTGCGCTACTCTCCGCAGAGCAAGGTATATTTGTCAAGCGATGCAAGTTCGCTAATTAACAGGTGTGGCGGACGCATAAGCTCAGGCCACTGGAAGCAGCGCCGCACTTAGTCATGACTCGAGGAGTGTGGAGCAAGTTATTCATTCAGTTATTGTTGGTCGACAAACGTGAGGTGTTTTCGAAATAGAATTCCCAAAGATAATAGATAGTAACACGAAAAGAAAGAAAAATACAAATAATACGAAGGCATTGCAAAATGTCCAGCAATTGAATCAAATTCGAGCAATTCGAGTCCAGGCCCCAATCGATGGCCCTGCAATGCGTGATCAAGCCAAAAATGTGGCTGGGCCTTAAGCAAACACTACTCTATGTGGGTCTACTGCTCTGTGTGGTGCTCCAGGTGTGTCGCAGCAAGACCCCACTGCAGCTCAACTGCCCCACCGTCTGCCAGTGCGATCTCCATGCGCAGCGCAATCGAGCGATCTGCAGGTGTGTGAATTTAAGCATTTAGTTCCACTTTCATTTATGTATTACTTATCTTATACATATACACACTTTCATATATACATATATCTAGAGCCAAGCGCTTGATAAGCGCCAGCATTGACATGCCCAAGTCTGTGGAGCTGCTAGACCTAAGCTATAATGATATCACCAACATTGACGCCGATTGCTTCGAGGTGAATTACTCAGCTGATGTCTGACTAATTGAGAATATATATATGATGTATGATATATATTTACTTACATTTAATTGACTCCCTTCCATGCCGACAGAGCTCTGTGCATCTGATCAATCTGACGCTGGCCCACAATGCCATCCAGACGCTGCATGTGAATGCATTTGGTGAGCTGCGTCGCCTGCGCTCGCTGGATCTCTCCTACAATCGCTTGGAGCAGCTGGACGAGCATCTGCTGGAGGGAAATTCACATCTGTTGCACGTCAATCTGGAGGGCAATAAACTGGCCAGCCTGGGGTCCGGGCCACTGTTGCGCAGCAGCTCGCTGCGGTCGCTCAACTTGCGCAATGCCCAGATCAGTCAGCTGGGCGTGGAGCTGTTGAGCGCGCTGCCCCAGCTGCGGCAGCTGGATCTGGCACAGAATATGCTGATTACAGTGAACATTCATGTGTTCCATGCGCCGCGCTACTTGGCCTCGCTCAACCTGGACGAGAATCCGCTCAACTGCGACCGGGCGCTAATTAAGGTCGCGACCTGGCTGAATTTGCGTGGCGTCGCTGTCAGCATGAGCGAGTGCCTGGAGGAGCGGCTGCCAACCCATCCGCTGGACGTGCAGGCGGATGGCGATGTGGAGGAGAGCGGGAGCCCCTCACTTGCTGAAACACTGCAAATGGAGCGTATGGAGCACGTGGACAGCGACAGCATCGCGGATGAGCCCAAGTCGGTGGCCGAAGTGTGGCGCGAGCTGCCCGACGATGCGAATTCCGATGAACAGCAGCAGTCGGAGCAGCCGGAGCAGCCGGAGCTGCAGCCCGAGGGGCAGCTATCAACGCTCATCGATGTGTGTGAGGGAAATCGCGATCAGCTCTGCCTGCGCTATCGCAACTGTCTGGAACGCGTCAGCCACGAGCTGCTGGCGGGCAACGCCGGGCAGCCGCCCGAACTGGTGCAGAGCCCCAACACATTCGACGAGGACGATGTGAAGCTGGCCTTCGCAGTGGGCGGCGCCACCGGCATCTGCATGGTCATTTTCATAATCAGCTTTGCCCTGTGCATTAAGAGCGGCTGCGAGCTGCGAAAGAAGCGAGGCCAGCCCTCAGCCAATGGAGAAGCATGTGAGTTGAGTTGTGCATAATATAGCCAAAGCTCTGGCATTAGATTAGAGCGATGTCAAAGCGAGACGAGCGGCATAATTGGTTAAGTAGCTGTCAGTTAGCAGAGCTACGAGCTTACAGCTGGAATTAATACATCAATTATCTGTTTATATTGGTTAGAGTAGGAACAGCAGATTCAATAGTAGATGCATAAGACTTATAAAACAAAAATCTCCAAATTATAAGAAGGAGTTGCAATCATAGCTGCATAAAAAGTTAGTCAACAATATTTATTTATTATAGATTAGAGTATAACTAACATAAAAATTAACTTAAAAAGTAATTCAGCTCAGTCAACATTAAAGGCTCAGTTAATCTAAGCAAAGTTCTCCGCAGACTCACTCGGCTTTACCCAGCTGAATTCTGAGCTCTTTCTATCACGCAGCAGCTAATAATTACACTCAGAGCTTAAAGCTTTTCTCTCTTCAGTTAGTCTTCCCTTTCTACATATGTGTTGCACTTACTCACTCCAAGCTCATTTATGCTCAAGAGCAAGCTTAGCACACACACACACACAAATACATATGCAATATTGGGCTGCGCTGCTCACTTGTAATTTCTTTTCTTTGATTTCGTGTCTTTACTTACAATTTGTCTTCAAGCTAGAAAAAGCTATATATGTATGTTTGTACATATGTTTGTATGTAATTGATCTCGCATTAAATTTAAATTGCCTCTCGTGTTAATTACTACTCAGTTAAAACGGAGAAGACTCTAGTTAATCTAATTGCGGCCAGAGTGGCCTATATATATATTAGCCTATAGGTCTTAAGCTCAATTAACTTAAAACAATTTTTGAATCATTTATCAATTAAAATAGAAATAACATTCGAAATGCAGAGTATTATATAACCTGTTTAGACTGTTTAGAATATTAGAAATCACTGTCCGCTTGCTTTGCTTCTCATTTGGCTGCGCTTGACTCCTCTTAATACCTCTTGATACCTCAACAAATCCTCTATATATTTTATGCATATTTCTTTGTTTTTGCATTTTACCGCTTTATCAATCCTGCCTAAGCCCTGCAACAGGTCGGCAACTGTTCACTTGAAACAGCTCAGTGCTAACTCTGCTCTTGCTCTCTTGCAGCCACAGTGGAATCGTTGCCGCCGCAGCAGCTGCCCACGATTCACACCTGGGCGCCGCCCACGGTGCCCACGCGTAATCCGCGTCGCTCCAATCCGCAGCGAATACGAAATGCGCCGTCGCGGGCTCTGGTCCGTCAGCCCTATGGACCCGATGACAACTTTGTGTCGCGTCTGTTTGGGCGTCCGGCCAGGCATCAGTACTATCGCGCCATTAACCAGAACACGGCGACACTAATCAGACGTCTGAGTCGCAGTAATCTGTTTAGCACTCGGGATCGGGATCAGCCAAGCAGTCCAGAGACGCCGCCAGCGGCCACAGCGAGATTCTACACAGATGTTGTGGAGACTGGCGCAGTGAGACCGGAGACTCCACCCCCCAACTATGGCGATGTGGTGGTCATTGAGAATTGTGATAGGAAATAGAATAAATCAAGCCTCGAGCTCCCTTTAAGCACACACACACACACAGCCACATTCAAGCAGTAGGCATTATAAAATAAATCTTTAAGCACGACTTAAGGCGACGTCTTTATAGTTTACGACAGCCTGCCTCTTCTTCTTCTTCTTCTTGTTATTCTACGTCTCCTCTTTTTGCTTCATACCAAAATATCAATTGGGGATTCCTTCGGACTTTTCTTTTGTTGGTAGCATTACTTTTACACGACTGCAACAAATCGCAATAAAAACTTTTGACAAAACTATCAAAGTTGGCACACAACGGGAACAGGAAGAGACTGCGAAATTGCCACAGCCAAATCTGCAACATGCCCCTCAACACCCATCACCCCCGCCTAAAATTCTCTCAAAAAAAAAAAAAAAAAAAAAAAAAATGATTCAAGTAGAAAAACTTTACACACTCAAATAAATGCAAGCGTGAAGCGTGTGCAATAGAGGACAGGAAATGAAGCGGGTGTCGCCCAGCCAGCGGATGTGGCAAGACAAATCGAAAGCTTCACAAAAGAAAACAAAACCAAACAAAAAAAATATATAACAAAAACTATAAAAAAGAAGCCCCACTGCAAACTGGGCAAAACCAAACAATTTGCACTGCAAAAGCAGCCAAAGTGTCTCAAAAGAATCAACCGCTAAAACTAACCAAGCTACCATTAAAAACATAACAGCGATCTGGTCGGGCATGGCCGACTGGTAGATACTCTGCAAATTAAATTTATAAATTATAGCTGTCATATACTTAACTTTGCTTATAGTAATTAATATGGTATTTGAGTAGCCTATTAATGTGTATTTTTTCTACTTTAGACATTTATTTACAAACATATATTTTTTATATTAATTAAAGGCTATAATCAAGAGAAAATAAAACAAAAATAAAAGTATTTGTGCTTATATATTTATATATATATTATGTTAATGGTAGTATATTATCTTTTTATTAATTAATTCTGTATATTAAATTACATATTATATTATATATTATGTATAAAAACAAGAGTATTTAATAAAATATGCATTTTTTCTTTTTTTTTTGCCCCAGATGTTTATTAAAAGTTTTATAATAATATATATGGATATATATATATATATATATGTATAAATAGTTTAATATATTTCATGCACTTTGTAAATAGACCCCAATCTTAATGTTTTTAGCACTTAGGCACTCTCTATTTCTACCTTTTTCTAAATCAACTTTTTCTACCATATGCTAATTTCAAATCGAAGCCTATTTTTAACAAATATCTTTAAGTAAATGTAAAGCTAGAGAGAATGCTGGCCATTTTTTTCATTGAAAAAATAACAAACTTAGATAAATAGCAAAAATATATTAATTAAATATCAAATGCAATTAAATATCAAATTTCAAAATCACAATTTGTATAAGCACAATTAAATTGCTCACAGCATTTATAAAAAAAAAAAAAAAAAAAAAAAAAAAATGCCCAATGAAATTTAAAGCTGATGCATCAAAAATTCATCATTTTCAGACTATATCTAGATCAATTCTTAATTTAAAAAATTCCCATCCTGTTGCTCCTCTCAAAAAGTTTTCGTTGCCAAATTCGCGGCAACTCTGGCTGTTCATGTGGCTGTGGCTGTGGCTGTGGCTGTGGCTCTGGTAATGTTGTTGCTGTTGAATATTTGTCTGACTGTCGCTGTTTGTTGTTTGTGGCAGCTTTCATTGCACTGCGCTGCACGGCGCTGCACAAAAGTTAACGTATCCTGGGACCCAAAGTTGCGTTGTCAACAAGCGAACGCAAAAAGCGAAGTCAACCGGGCATAAAAACGTCCACCAGCGGGAAGAGCAAATGTTCCAGAGCGTGAAAAAAAACAGTATATATATATGTATATAGTATATATCTAAATCCAACATTAATGAAAAACTTTTTGCATAATCCAAGAGCAGCGGATGCCGCTGCTGCTGGTGTCGCTGGGGCTTAGAGCTGAGCTTTTGGCCAGACAGACAAACCCAACAAAATATCTAGAAAAGCCAGCCAATGCCATCGGCTGCAGACACTAGCCGAACACTCAGTCGAACTAAAATACTTTACGCTAAAGAGAAAAAAAAAAAAAAAAAAAAAAAAAGAATGAAGAAAACACAGCAAAGGTGATTCAAATTCAATGGCTAAGCTATTCAGAAGCAAAGAGAGTTGGTTATGCGGTTGTCAGCTTTGCCGACTGAGGGCCGAGCGGCTTAAAATACTGCGAAGGTTAAGCCAGAGAGAAAAGAGTGAGTGAGGAGCAGCTCGTCAAACTGATACTGATTATGCCAAACTGATACAAATATGCCAAGGGTTAGTCTTGGGTCAGCTGCTTCAAAATGTCAAGGTAGAGCAAGCTCTACTAAAAGATATTTAAGAAAAAGTGTTGAAATTTGATGACCAAGCCAGACACTCCATAGACTCTCTCAGTAAAACAAATGGGGAAAATGTAATTGAATTATGTAGTGAAATTTCTTAAGTTGAGCTTGCCATACCTGCTTATTTACTAAGATATATTCAGAATACTTTAATTACTCAACGAATAATAAGACCTCTATATAAGTTGGGGATCTGAATTCTGTGTTAGGCTAAGTTCAAATAACTGAACGTTCATTGAGATTGACTTTATGCAAATGAAACATTATTTATATTACTTACTAAGAAGCCAGTCTTAAGATTTTACTTCCAGTTAAGACTTTCTGATGAGTGTCTATGCCTTTCCTTAACATTAAAGTTAAAAAAATCATAAGTATTCACGCTTTCTGCTCTTGTTTTAACTATTTCAAAATACAGCTCGAGTGTCAATAGATTAAAAGTGAGTACAGTATTAATAAAGCCACAAATTAATGTTCACCTGGGACACACCTGAGGTACATCTGTATACCGTTGTATAGCTTAGGTAACTTACATTCATTTCCCACTCATATATTCACTGGTTGGTCTGGCGAATCGGGAAATAAACTTCAAAGCATTTAACAGTTGTTCACTGACCAATACACCTACCCATGCACTCGCGCCACGCCCACCGGCCAGCCAGTTTACGATGTAATCTGCACAATGGCAGAGCACAGTTTTAATTGCTGTGACACTGCAGATACGGCTGACTGAAGCTGGAAATTGGTCAGACTACAGGGAGGGCAACAGGGGGCAGCAGAGGCCAGCGGAGGGCAGAGGGGAGTTCCACTTGCTGCTCCGACTTCTGTTGCTGTTGTCGTTTTCTAATTTGATAAAGATAAAAATCATTTTATAAATGCCGACGACGTTGCCATCAAGTGTATGCCCCTGACAGGCGAGTCCAGGGCTTAGACATATATATACAATACACACATACATATACATATATATATATATATATATATAGTGTGCAGCTTGGCTCTTAATTGAATGCTCATTTCAAAGAGGACGATGCTGGCAGCGTTGCCAACGTCGTCGCAGTCGACTTTAATTGCATTTTTATTTCATTTCCCAGCAATTATCGCTGGTTCGTGTTCAAATTTATAAGCTCCAGCTACTCGCTCGACTTGCACCTGTCGCCGCAGTCGCACCTGTGGCAACCTGCTAAGCTCCAAAGGTCAATCGTTGGTCAACCTTACCAGATGTATGTATGTGTCTGTATATGTATGGAGGGTCTGTGTGTGTGTGTGTGTGTAACTAGTTGAGCATTGCGGTGTCCTGTTGTCGTAATTAAAGGTTGCCCTGGGCCAGTCCGGAACAGGGGCGCGTGCTTCCACTGCAGCAAGTTGTTGTTGGCGTTGTTGTTGCCACATTTTAGCAATATTTATAGTTGTTGCAACGCTTTGGCATTGGTCTTAGTGGAAGCCCAACTTGTCGTTGGCAGTTGTTAGCAAAGCAATTAGCATGAGTTTGTTATTGCAACACGGCAGCAGCGCCAACAGCCAACTGTCCAAGTCGGCAACAGTTGGGAAGCATGCTGAAAGTTTTTCGGTTGCCGCCCCTCTAAAGACCTCAATCCGAAAGCAAAAATTAAATTTATTTACTTTGCTGCATGGGCCAAAGTGTTGCCCATGTGGCATTTAACTCTTAACAACAAATCAAATGTAAGCGAGACTGCGCAACAGAGAGGCACACAGCCGTCGGTCATGCAACCCAAAAGCAATTCAGCTGAATGGGGAAAGGGAGTTCAGGTGCTTAACTCCAATTTCCCACCAAGCATACAATTAAAGTTTAACTAACTAACGAAACTCCCTTTACATATAGGCCAATTAGACTCGGGCTTTGCATTCAATTAGATTATCTTGTTGGTAATTTGAGATAATTAAATACACCAAGCTGCATCCCCTTCTTCGCATTTACTCTTGAGACCCTCAAATACTCCTCATTGAACTCTACTCGATTTAAGGTGGCTGCTCAATAACTATCGACGTAATGGCTCTTAAATAACTTTTGCTTCAATTTACCTCTAAGCTTGCATTTATAGTTTAACAAGCAAAGTATTCATTATCTATAGTCTAATTAGACGATTCCAATTAGTTTTTGGCATATGAAGAGCGGCTCCTCTTGGTAATTTATGAAAATTTAATACCGGAATATTTTTTATTTCATGTCTTCTCTTTGCACTTAGTCTTGAGACTCTTAAGTATACGTGTACTTAACTTTCGTCAATTAAAAATGTATTTTCCATAGCTAAGTCTAAAATTCGCGATTCCATTAATTTTTCATGAGCTCTGCTGATTGAAAAATTAATACAAAAAATGCCCATAATAAATATATTTCGAAAAGAAAATATAAATAAAATATATTTTAAAAAGAAATAAAATATATTTCAAAAAGAACTTACACAAAAAATTATATATCATTTTTTTTTTTTAATAAAAAATAAATAAAATATATTTTAAAAAGAATATTATCTATATATAAAAAAAAAAAATATATATATATATATACATATTTTTTTCAATATATAAAATATATTTCAATAAGAAATCCGCACATTAATTAAACTGAAAGCTGCCAAAACAAAGTTTTGAGCCCAACAACTGAAAATTCAATTGTAAAACGCAAGAGTTTAGCTCCGCAAATCTACCGAAATATTTCCGCCGTAATGTATCTGGTTTAATTTGATGTAGTGAGGCTAATTG